TTTTTTGAAAAAATTAAGCAAAGATGCATTCAATTGACAAAGACTCTTAAATTGTTACAAAAATCTTGTTGTAGTAATCTTTCACAATATTTCTAATCAAATAAATGGATCCTTGGTGAGCATAAGAGACTTCTTTCAAAAATATTTTAAAAATCTCACCAACCACAGACATTTGTACATTGCATCAGGACTTAAGAGAAACTAACCTTTCTTCTGAGGTGCATCTTCATCAATGGTGTCAGCAGTGGCACTGTTAGCATGCAGTCTTTTCAATGGAGACAACCCCACTGGTTCCCCAGACTCTCCAGGGTCTCCACTTTTCTCTGTAAATAAAATATATATAACATTTGTGTATCTGTGCGTCAGTATTCTACTACAAATGTAACTTCTTCACTTCAGAATGGATTGCAGTTTTACAAATTTGTTTTAAAAACATATGTGTCATTTTTTACCTTTTGAGGTTGCTTTTTTTCTGGTAGTAGAAGAAGATGGTCCTTCCTGAAAAGTTGTATTTTTAATATGTTCATGATTAAATTCTGGCTGCAATACATGCAAGGTCACAGTAATCAGTTAAATTCAATATATCAACAAAACTTCATTTACACACACATGCTTTATTTGTTAAAGAAATTTTCATCTGCATCTTACACATTGTTCCAGTGGCAGGGGTTTCCCATTGTGAAAATTAGAGACTATCAAGGCAATGGTGGTGAGGGTTTTGCCCTGAAACACAGCATACAAGTTCTGAGCACTAGTAGGGCTTATATTGAGCACTAAAAGAACAAGTCTAAGATCATCTCACCAGCCCCATGTCATCAGCCAAAATCCCACCAAGCACTTTCTCAGGCCTCTCCTTCACAGCAAAGTTAGTGAGAACGTTAAAGTAAAGGCCATTCTTCTCCTCCCAGAACGGGGGCAGATCGTTGCTGTTTTCACGAGAGGTCATCCATGAGAGCGCCTGCTTTTGATGTGGGAGTAGAGGAGTGAACACTGCCTGTACGGACAGACATTAACAGAGACATCAGTAAGTGACTGATGGATGAGATTGACAGTAAAAAAAAAACAGCTGTGTTCTTTCTGTCTGTGCTCACCTCTGCTGGCTCCATTTCTCTGGTTTTATCCTCCATCAAATCATCAAAGAGCTTGTCAAAGGCATTTTTCAGCTGATATGATGTAACAAAAATAAAATTATTAGCAATTTCATTGAAGTTAAACAAAAAGCATCAAACATACAGACTGGTGGTTCTCAACAGGTGTGTTGCAGGCAGCACTGTTTGGTCATAAACAGCATGCTAAATTAATAATAAATAATGCTAAATGTAACTAACCATATAAATGGGTATGGCTAAAACAGAAAAATAAATAGAATTATTGCCTATTAAAAGGAAAGACAAAAAGCTTACCATATTATGGCATTAACAGGTGTGCACCTGATAAAACTAAATTATGCATTGAAAAAAAAGTATGATACATACTACATTAAATACACTTTTTTGTAATTTATTTCTTTTTTAAATGTATTTTTTTTTTATTACTAATATTTTTTCATCTTTGATTATACAGACATTTTTGTTAGCACTGTGTTTGATGTAAAAAACAACAACAGAAAAAACACAAAACCACTGATAGTAAAGCATACTAGACAAATAACAATCACTTATTTTAACATCTTATAGCCAAAATCTGTAAAACAGACACTTGATATTCAACATTATTATTAATCTGCCTGCATTGACACCATTGTATGATAACTGAACTGAGCTGGACGATTACATCCCTGTTGTATAGATACATAGGCTGTATAGATAAATGAGCTAAATTAATAATTAATGATATTTACAACAGAAATGAGCCAACACCGAACTTACTTAAGCTGGACAATGACACTATTTTCTTCTAGAGCTGCTGTACAGCTGAAACAAACTTTGTTGGATAATTTTCCTGTTATCACTGTAAAGCTGCTTTGAAACAAACGGTATTGTAAAAAGCGCTATATTAATAAAGGTGACTTGATGAAATTTACCTCTTCAACAGTCAAAGGAATGGCAGATATTTTTGAGGACAATCCAAGCAGATCTCTACCCAAAGATGTTTTGGTAGCACCTCCTAAGAGAATAAAATAATGTCAATCATATAAGCATTATATACTCACCAAAGAACATTAAGTAGTGAATAAATAATGGCATGCATACACTGTCAGTCGGGAAACAACAACAACAACAACAACAACAACAACCACCTTTCAAGTCAGAGCCAAGTCTGAAACCATAGCGTCTCATCTGATTATGCACAGCTTCTCGCTTCTCCTCTTTGCCCCAGAACGTGAGGTTCACAGGCATTGTGAATGTATTAGTTTTCCCAAAGGGCACAACCCTATTAAGAAATCAGACACAAAAGAGATCTGTTGCAATCAATTTGCAATAAAAATCAGTTGCATACTTAATACAAATTACTTCAAAAATATTTTTAGAAAAGAAGAAACTACAGTACCCTTCCACCCTTGCCAAGTTGTTGTCCATAATGTAGGCCATTGGGGCTGCCAGCTCTTTCTTGATGTGCCCCACCTGACTGCCATACACATTGGCAACCATCACTGCATTTCGGTCATAGGGATTCTGCGGCTCTCTCACCAAAGACACCATCTCTCCTTTATTGACCTACAGCATATGTCACAATCACACATAATATTCCTGTTATTAAACGAGATTGAATGAGCCATTATAGAATTATTCTGTGTTTCGAATAATAAAACCACTAGAGGGCAATATACACAGTGTGGTGGAACAGGTGTGAGATTACCTGTTCCTGTCAGGTGATAAGGGCGTCAGAGGAATTAAACCGGTACAGATGGCGGGGAAATACAGGTCATGGCGAAGATATAAAACTATGTTGTACTGCAGTAAATTATAATACTGCATTCTTGTATGTTATGTTACTATTAAACAGCAACACGACTCAAAGAAATATAGCAGTATGGAAAATGGAAGTACACAATTAAAAGAAATATATAACACCGTGCAAGTGGTTTTTAGATATTTTGATACAAAATTCTTACATATTGTACCTTTAAATGTGGAATACGGTCATGTAACAATGCACTTAGAAACCCTATGTATGCGCACATACACACACACACATACATGCATGTATATATATGTATTTATACATACACATACATAAAGATCCCTACCATTCCAGTGTAGTAGCGCAGACCAACAACTGAGCCTTGAATTGATCCGATCTGAACACTCTCCTCTGCCTCCAGCTCCTGCCCTCCATCTTCTGTTAGATTAGCAATTTCTTGGGATATGGTCACTGTGCCACCGACATCCATGAAATCTATAAAAGCTGGTGTTGGATGACAGGAATCATAATTAATATTAGACGTGACAACAATTGATTCAACACATTCGGAGGAGATATAATAGGTTTTAGTTTAAACTATAGTTTGCTAGGGACCATTATTAATCATATTCATTTCACAAATGTATTTGACATCTGCTGTTTTTCACCGTATCGCGGCGAGGCGCTGGTCGAGGGGTTGTGAGGGTGATCAGCAGTTCGGGCACTTGTTGATTTGTTTGATGACTGCATGTCTGCGATCACAACACAAACACGAAACGTCACTGAGTCAGGTCCTAACCAGAAGAAACAAAGTGCCATTCGAATGTATAATAAACCAAATGTAAAGACGTTTAATTGCATATAATGACACTTTATAGTGATATAAAAAATAAACTGATTCATCCAACTAGAATGAAGTGTTCATAACAAGCGAACACGCTCTCGTGGATTAAGTTAAACTGTTTAGCTACAGGCCACACTCACCTCCCGATCAAGACTCCAGTACGACAAAGGAATGCTGTATGTAAACTGATGCAAATCCAAATTCTACATAAGCGATGAATATTGCAGTACTTATAGCTAGGGGTTTATTGTAATTCACTCGTCATTTACTGCCTACAAGTTAAGGCTTCAGTGACGCCTGTCCTGTCAGTGGCGCGAGTGTTTTGAAACTGTACGCTTATTTCCGGCGCCAGATTCAGACCTCACGTCACCGTCACGTGAACCAACCAGCAAAGACTACCAAAAGTCGTCACTACAAATCTTTTGAATATATTAATGCTTTAGGCGGTTTTTTAAATTAATTTGATTAATTTCATATTTGTTATTCATATTATGTTATTTGTATTTATTCGATGTATAATCTTTGTTTATGGATTGTGATGACTGTTTGTTTGTAAATTGAAAATTTTTTGTTGAAAAAAGTGCTTTAGGTGTTTTAATCAAACAAAATAAGATTTTATCATTATTTCAAAAAATAAAATAAATTTTTTTTTGATTAATTTAAAAAAGAATACATGATTCTAAATAATTTTATCTTGCATGAGCCAGAAAGAATAACACATTTTTCTTACTGTGGTTACTCTGGTTATGCAAATTTTTTTAATGAAATTACTGAATGCATTAAATAAAAAGGACGAAAATTGTATGCTTTATTTTTCAATGTTACACTTATCAAGTCAAGAAATGATAAGTAAAATTTTTTAAAGTTCACTGTGGAAGGATGCATCATTCACAGTTTACAAGTTGTTACAAATGACAAATTAGTAGTAAAAAAATTGATAGGATGGGACAATGGAAATGTAAATATAGTCTTGACCTCTGTAAAAACCCAATGTAGATTGAAGAGACAGTTTTGGCACGGGCAAAAGAACAACATATGAGAATTCATGAAATCAATGCTGCAAATACAAATGTATCAGGAAAAATGCTATCACACATGTGGTTTAAAGTTACTGTGTCCATTCTCTCACTGTCCTCTGAGGGGCTCTTGATATTAAATTAAACAAATTAAATGTAAAGGAAAAAACCTGACTGCAGTGATATTTCATTCATTCTCCACTTTTTAAGTGTCTTGAATAATCACAAGAAGCCTATGCAAGTACATACAAAGATGAAGTGAAGTGATGTTGGACTGCTGGACTGCTGACTACAAAGATAGCTTATCTGATATCAACTGGAGTTTGCATTTAAAATAGCTGAATATCCCAAATTGGAGCAATGCTAAAGCAAACACATACTGAATGTAACACTAACATTTACATTTAACCAAAGAAGTTTTCACACTTTCCCAATGCACAGTCAATATAGTTTATTGTTGTTATTGCTGATGGATGGCAGAGTTAGATGTTGCTCTTGTAGGCTCAGTTTAATGCTTTAATCAGGTACAGTTTATCTCCCTGCTCACTGGTAAAAATGGGGGCCTTTTTGTAATGTTCCACCAAATCCTCAATGGAGCTGAACTTGCGCTGACCAATGCAGTACAGTCCATCTTTTAGCTGCACCTTGAAATGTTTGTTCTTGTACACTGCCTTCAGAGAGATAGAGAAGTCGTTTGGCTGGAAAGTAAAAAATGAAATGTTTGTTCATAACAAGGCACACACTAAATAAAAAAAGTAGGCTACTTAAGTAAATAAATATGCAAAATTCCATTTCTACTACCAGAGGCTGGTAATATATAAATTAGGAAAAAAAGTACATTTATATTAATAAAAAAAAAAAATAAACATTTGATGTTTGGACACAGTTTCAATTGAATTCAATTACCGTAGACTCGCTGTCTCTGATGAGGAAGTCACCATCCGCACCCCTCTGGTTCAAGACCATCTCAGCCTGGTGCCGTGTCAGTTTCCCATAGTACCATTGTTTTCCTCCAAACTTTCCATCCATAGAGGGCTTAATGTCATAGTTTGAAGTAGGTGGTCCTGAATTCCCCAGTTCTTTGTGTGTTTTCTGTACAACTGTAACATAGTTCTTGGGCACTAAACCCACTTGCCCATTTTCTTTTTTACACTTCCACCATTCAGGGTCATTCTCAGGTTTCTCCAACACATCCATAAGTTCATCCTTGTTGAAATTCAGCTCCTCGACATTGCCGGAGCTGAAATGATAAAGTGCCTGTACAGTCTGCAGAACCTGAGAGCCGTTGTTATTGTGCCCCACTGAGGCCAGTTTATCTTTGAGAGAGCTCATGGAATCGTCCCTCATTGTCCTGTCCACATCCTCTGTGACATAATTGGAGGGAAACCACCCAGAAAGGCCATTATAGGTTCCTCGCCACCAACCGTCGCTGCACTTCTCCGTGACGATGACCCTTGTGCCCTTCACCAAAGAGAGCTCGTCCTCCCGCTCCGCGGTATAGTTGAACTTCACCAGTGCGGGCAGGTTGAGGTCATACAGTCGCTCATCGCCATCATATTTCTCTGAGCTGGAGGGCAAATCTCGCACACAGCCTTTCTGCTTCACCTTCCCAATCCCTGCAGTCACAGAAAATGTTAATATGAGCAATGCTTTTTTCACTGTTTTTTTTGATAAATGAAACTTAACTAATGATACTATTGGTATCTTACCATTGCAAACTGACATTATTTATCTTCATAATGTGCCACATAGACTTTTTTCTTGTTTCAACACCTTGAAATTAAACCCAAAGCTCATAAAAGTAATAAAAATGTTCTACCATTCAAAGGTTTGCAGTCGGTATATGTTTTAATGTTTTTAAAAAATATATCTTATGCTTAACAAGGCTTCATTAATTTGATCAGAAATACAGTAATACTGTGAAATATTATTACAATTTAAAATAACCATTTTCTATTTGAATATATGTTAAAATATAATTTATTCCTGTAATGCAAAGCTGAATTTTCATCATCATTACTCCAGTCTTCAGTGTCACATGATCCTTAAGAAATTATTCTAATATGCTGCTTAATAATTTCTTATTATTATCCATGTTGAAACAAATGTACTGCTTATTTATTTATTTTTTGGAAACGTGGTAACTTTTTTTCAGGATTCTTTGATGAATAGAAAGTTCAAAAGAACAATTTTTTTTTAAAGAAAACTTTTGTAATTATAAATGTCTTTAATGTTTATAAATTTAATGCATCCTTGCAGAATAAAAGTATTAATTTCTTTTAAAAAACAAAATCTTACTGAGCCCAAAATTTTAAATGGTAATTTAGTACATCAGAGTGACTTTAGTTACGCTTAATCCCAATTATCCATGTGAATTTTCTTAAATTGTTAAAATCATTACTAAATTCAAAACAGTTCAGCATTTGGGTTCCAAGTTTATGATCTCACACTAAGGGCCGTGACATATGGAGCTAGAAATGTGTCTTTATTATATGCGAGAAAATAAATGATCTGAGAGAAGAAAAAAAAGTTTGAGAGAAAAAGTTATCACACTGATAGCAAAAAATATATATTTAAGAATTTTTTTCAAAGTATTTTGAGAGAGATTTTCTTTCTCAGAAATAATTTTAAAAATGTTAAATTTATATTTTTTATGTTCAATGAGAAAATACTTTCTCTCAAAACTTTTTTTAGTCTCAAATATTATTTTTCTTCTTCTCTCAGATCATTTATTTTGTCGCATATAATAAAGACACATTTCTAGCTCCATAGTGACAGTCACTGGCGGGAAAACCCATAAGGAAAATTACATAGAGGTACATTTTGTTCATATAAACACATAAAAGTTTATTTACAGAAAATACAACATTTTGTATAGAATCTTTTTTTTCCCCTCTGTCCCACTTTTGGTTCACTGGTACAATAACAGTGTTACTGTTGCACAATCACAGACCAGCTGACAGCCAAGTGTTACAGACTTCATATCTGCACATCATTAGACTAATAATTGCTAATAATGTAAATATTGACAAACTGACATGTTTTTGACAAAAGACAGGTTTACCATCTCGCATAAATTGTTTTACATAACTACTAAATAAAACCTGTAATGTACATGTCAGACACAGGCTTGTGACAGGACATGTCACAAGCATTTCAGTGCACAGTTCTCCTTAGTGTTAACTATGCAAATGATAAAATGATGCCTCTTGACTCTTGAAATCAGGAAAATACACCCTGATCCCAAAAGAGAAAATTCTAATTTAGTGATTTGGTAATGAAACATCAGTTTGATCAATTTAACATACTCATTTCTGGGCCTGAATCCACGGAGCCTGTGTCTACACAAATGCTAAAATAAACACCCAGCGCTGTCAACATCTCCTCCTCCTTTCAAAAAAATGTGGATCAAAAAATGACAGAACTCTGCACTGTGCAGCAAAAAAATTTACACAACCGTACTAAAAGTCCGGAATCGCTATGTTTGTTTATGTTTTTCAAGAAACTGATACTTGTTCACCAAGGATGCATTAAATTAAATGAACATATTCAGCTGAAGTTTCATCTGCTTTCTGCAGCGCTTCCCACAGGTGTTCGTGTTCCCATAAGCTTGTTAGGGCATTTCTCACTGGCCTTGCAATCGAATTGTTCCCACAACAGCACACCTTCTTATTTATTTATTTAAGTTTCAGATTAAACTTTATCTGTGAAACTCTGCCTAAAGGCCAGCAGCTTCCCAGAGGCTTCTCTTCTTCACTGTTGCTGATGAAACTGATATTTGACATGTACTTTTCAATGAAGCTGCCAGCTGAGCACCAGTGAGGGGGGCTGTTTCTCAAACTAGAGACTCTGATGTACTACTTCTCATCTTGTTGTGCAGCAGGGCTGTCCACTTATCTGTATACTGGTTAGAACCAGTTTGCTCTCACTCTTCTTTCAAGAGAGTATAGTTCACGGAAAAGACTTCAGAAGAACAATAGGCTGATGAGTTTCTAGAGAAATGGGTTTTCTTTTTTCCCGTTGTTGAAACAAAAATTGGACTTCAAAAATGTGAGTGTCCTTAAAGGGTTAGTTCACCACAAAATGAAAATTCTGTCATTTATTACTCACCCTTATTGTTCAAAACCCATAAGACACGCGCGTTCACGCAACAAAGTCTGCTCCTGCGTCAACACAACATGCATGCGTCGTTGTGCTCTCGTGAACTGAACACGCGTTGCAGGTTAATAGCCTACCTTGAAAATAATGTGGTAAATTATGTTTGTTTGTTTTTTGCCTAGACAAAGCACTCGCGTCGCTTCTTAAATTTGAGGTTAAACCACCGGAGTCACACGGATTACTTTTATGAGGTCGTATACCTTTCTGAGGTCGTATACCTTTCTGGGGCTTGAAAGTGGTAGTTGCGTATAGTGGTCAATGGAGGGACAGAAATCTCTCAGATGATTCCATTAAAAAGATCATCATTTGTGTTCCGAAGATAAACTAAAGTCTTATGGGTTTGGAACATGAGGGGGTACTAGTAGTGACAGTGACAGAATTGTCATTTTTATGTGAACTAACTCCAGGAAATTGTAGTTTGCACATTGTAGCACAATCATTTTCAACTGTGCTAATAATAAGAAAGTTATCTTGAGTCCCAGTAAAACTATACATGTATACATTTTTAATTCTATTTGACATTTTTTAAATTACATTCAAATTTATTAATGTATAGGCTACATTTTAAATTCTTTTTTACATGTTTTAAAAATACATTTTAATTTGAAAAATCTAAAATTGTCATAATGATCCCAAACTTTTAAATAGGCTTTTAGCTGAAACATATTGGTGGTGTATGTAAATGGCATTTTGTTTTATGTAAATGGCATTTACAGTAATGTAAACAACACAAATTCTCTTCAGATACAATTCTTTACTGACTCAATCATCAACTTTTAATAAAAGATATATTATTTACTAAGAAGATCCGTTCATGGGAGTTATAAACTTATTGGAATGACCAAAAAAATGGCTAAACCAAAATATGTCCCCTCCAAATGAAAAGGAAATCTAATTTTTGCCCATCCATGAACATCAACAGGAAGAACAAAATAAATACCAGTTTCCTGTAAAATAAATACCAGAAAAAAAAAATAGGGCAGAGTGTTGAAATGTAAAACACCCTCGTGATCCAGTTACCTCGTTCACATGTGTGGAATTACAGAGCTCATCTGCTCCATCAAAATCAAACTTTCCAAACTCATCTGTAACAGTAGTTGTATTCCAAATAACCATGGAAACATAAAAGTTACAGGCATAAAATTGGAGGGAAACAAGTTGTCAGTGATTAACCACTATCATGATCAATGTGATGCAACCATTTTGAGAAGTAAAACCATCATGCGGATGTGTGGAAAAGCCAATAAAGTTGAAATTTTATTTCAATGGAAAGTCCAGGCCACAGCAATGAAAGCATTACTGTCTTTATGACGTGACTCAAGGATGGAGCTTGAGGCACTGTGTCCTGTCTGCTTTTGCTTCATTTCCTCTGACAGCCAGAATAACGGCAGCTCAGCTTTCCAGTCAATTTCCCAGTTTTCCACATGCGGGAAAACATTCAAAAGCAGAGATAAGGCAGAATTCTTCCTAAAGTAAAAACCTTGGCATCACAGGTACTGTATATATTAAAACATAATTGAGACTGTCATAAAGTCTTCAGTTCTTCAGAGTTCAACCCAAAAGCTGAACAGAGATGTAGGGTTTGTAACGAGTTTGTATACGTCTGACAAAGTTTGCATGTGGCTTTTTGTGCAATTTCATCATTTTCCCCATGAAACACAACTGAACATCTTGAATTGACCTAATTTTGCTGTCATCTGCCCTCAACATTGAATGAGATCTCTCGCTCAGCCCAGGTTTTTGAAAAAGCTGAGTGTGATTATCAATGTAACGTGACCCGTGGCAAGCTGCTTTCTCATATCCACGACAGGAACCGAGCGAACGCAGCCAAATCACCCTGCCTTTGTTTCTGTTCGGGCTGAGCTCACTCCACTAATGACATCATAAGACAGATAGCCTCTTCACAAACAGATGTAGCGTCCTAGAACTGTCAGCAAAGGTAGCGCCGTTAATTCTCAGGTGACGCAATACGCGCATCCACACAAATATAAACCCGTGATGAACTTCAGCATGTGTTTCTGTTCACTTTTGACCTCACAGCTGCTCTGTCCTTTTCTTTCTCATTTCAACCGACAATATGTTTTGCTTTGTGGCTAATTTTCCGCAACAGATTTTTGAATGCAAAATTACACAAATAACACTTGAGACATTTTCCCTTTGTGCAGGAATCGGTCACGCCTCTGTTTGGTATACAATAGCCTCTCTGAACTTCCACGGCATACTAATGCACAGAGAGAGAAAGAGAGGCAGACACAGAGAGCAAGAAAGAGAGCTGGCAGGAGGCCATCAGAGAAGCCTGCAGTTTTTTCCCTCTTCTCCTGAATTTTCCCGAAAAGTCCGGCTATTCAAAAGTGAGCAAATAAAACAAGTGCAAAAAAAGAGAAAAGCAAATAAGGAGTCTCATTTGTTGAAGTGTTCTGTCCCGTCGCTACTGTTCTTTTGTCCTGCAAGATCCGCTGCTTCACTCTGCCAAGTCACGACACCCCACTGTCTTGTCCACTGTAATGCGGGGAATAAAACACTGAAATGCTGAATGTGTTACAAAGGGGAAGAAGAACGTAATGAGAGAGAAAGAAACCCAGAGTCAAAGGCCTCAATTATTCATTGCCTCACATCCTTCTGTTTTCCTGCACTAGAAATCTGCGTTGAATTAGACAGCTTCCGGCCGCCTTCACAGAGCAGCTCAAGTTGACAGTAGAGGAGGTGGAGGGGGCCTGCATGGGTTTCTGCTTTGATTTTTGTTTTTTAAGACTGTCCAAGCTACCCCGAAGAGCCTGCTGCTATTTCCTCCCTCTCTTATGGCAAATTTTATAGAAAAAAGAAAGTATTTGAAGTACCTGAGTGTAGCCTATACTTACTGCCCTGTAAAATGTAAGTCAATGAGCTTGCAGTTGTGCATATAACATTATATGAGTGACTCATCTAGGTTTACAACCAAAGGACACACAAACCAAAATGTCATTAAGCACTAAACTCCTAATAACTTTTTTTATTCTTAATATAACATAAGAGAAACACATTCTAAATAATCACAAACTGAACAATAAACCCTTATCAGCCCACTTTCAGCTGATCTTTACCCTCAAAGAAGGCAAGACAAACACAAGGACAGTTACAAAGAGCTGACAACACAAGTATATAACTTAAAAATCACATCAAGTATGAAGAAACTCGCAGAAATTGTTCTTTCTTCAGATTAAGTTAATTTGTCAACAGTACATGCAGGGCAATGGCAACAACTTTGTTGAGCAAAAGTGATATACTTCTGTGGAAAAGATTATAAATATGTACTCACGAAAGAAGTGTTTAAAAAGGTTAGCCATATCCATTCCCAGCTCTGTGAGCAGCCCCCCTTCCTCACACACCACGGCTCTCTCCTTCTCTCTCTCTGTAACAGAGCAGCAGCTATTCCATGAGAACTTCCTGAAAGTCCAGAGTTACAGACAGAGCGACTCTCCACCCCACACACATGACTGTCCTTAACCAATGGCTGTCAAGAGGTCCTTTCTGTAGACTCTAGTGGCTGGATGGGCCTCAAACACACAGGGTCTTCAACATGACAACACTGTAAAACATTTCTACCTATTTCAACTGAAAAACTTAAGTTCAGTTGCTGGTACTGGTCTGTATAGTCATTTAATCGTAAATTATATTAAGCTGGGTTAATATAAATAACTGGGTTGAGTTAAATTGAGTTGAATCTCGTACAACTTTTTGCTTTTTAAACAATTGCTTAAATTATTTTGATGAGTTAAAGTAATTTTGTCATGAGTTTTTGATCATATAATTTTTTTTACAGCGTATAATTAGTTTACGGACAGAGTGCATGCTCTGGTGAGCCACAAAACATGCAGCAATTTTATTATATAAACACACACACACCATCAGCCGTTTCTGGCCTTGTCTGATGCTGCAGGCTATACTTTTCTTGCTACTTACCCACTTTATGTTCCTGATTACCTTGCTAGCTACTGTAGTTACCTCATCCAAGTCAATCTCCAATCATATTCCAGTCATCCCTTGTCTCAGCGTTGTTCCCTCGCGCGTGTGTGTGTGTGTGCTCCAATGATTCTGTAAGACAAAGACTCAAAGTCAACAATACAAGTCTCATCTGCTAACGATCTCAGGTATCATCTCTTGTTTATGCATTGTGTTACTGCCATATCTGCAAACAAAACTGCCTGTTTGAGTTTTACCTCAGTTTCTGGTCCTTGCTTTCAAGCCTGAGCATGACAAAATGAAACAAAATATAAATATTAGATGGAAAAACTGACTAAATGAAAATTAGAAATGTTGCATTGGCAACTAACTGAAATTGGTTTAAGTTGAAGCACTAAAATTACTAAATGGAAATAAAAGAATATTGAAATAGAAATATATAAAACTTAAATAGTAAAAATTAATAATAGTAAGAAAATTAAATTTATATCAATTTACAGTAAATTTATATTAGGGCTGTCAAATGATTAATCGTGATTAATTACATTCAAAATAAAAGTTTTTTTTTACATAATATATGTGGGTGCACTGTGTATAATTATTTTGTGTATATATATAAATACACACACATGCATGTATATTTAAGAAAAAAATATTATTTATATATAAAATATTTATATTTATATATAATATAAATTATATATAAATCTATATACAGTATATACATGAAAATATTTCTTAAATATATACAAGCATGCGTGTGTATTTATATATATAAAATAATTATACACAGTGCACCCACATATATTATGTAAAAAAAACTTTTATTTTGGATGTGATTGATCACGATTAATCATTTGACAGCCCTAATTTATATATATGCTGACTGTTGTATACCTTTGTGTAACACTTTTTACAATACACATTGTTCCAAATCAGCCTTACAGATATAGAAAAAGGGGGTTTAATGTAGGGCTATATATGTAATTTTGTTGATATTTTGTATGATAAACAGATGTATTGTGATGATATTGTGTTAGGTCAACACTGTTGTTCAAAATCTAGTTCATGAAGCAAAACCAGTTGAGTTCTACTGATCTAGATTGGTGAGTGAATCTAAGGCTTTATATGGCCTGTACGTCAGTTTATTGACCTTATGTGGGTCTTCATGGCATGGGATATTCAATATCGGTCCCCCAGTGGTTCCATATACTGTGAGTAAACTACACTGAATGAACAAGTTCTCACAGTTCTCTCAACTCTTCGGCTGTGCGAGTGCTGTCATCTGTTTACAAACCTGCAGAGCTTGTGAAAGAGAGGCTGTCAAATGCACCTCTGGAGCACCTGGTCCAGTGGACAAAGCTGTAATTTAAGGGAATGAGGTCACAGTTATGGAGCCGAATTGCTTCCTGAGGGGTGTGAGAAGGTCCAGTGACTGAAAAAAGGGACAGGCACAGCATGCTATAAGCAGCATCCATAATATGAAAAACAGACATAAAGAGGCAGAGATGCAGATAGAGAGCGAGAGAGAAAATAAAGGTTCTTTTAAAATGGGTTCTATCAAACGGGTTCTTCCAAATGTGTTCCATCAAATGGTTTCTTTCAAATGGGTTATTTCAAATGGGTTCTTTCAAATATGTTATATCAAATGGCTTCTATCAAATGGGTTCTATAATGGGTTCTTTCAAAATGGCTTCTATCAAATGGGTTCTATAATGGGTTCTTTCAAAATGGGTTCTATCAAATGGGTGCTTCCAAATGGGTTATATCTAATGGGTTCTCTTTCAAAATGGGTTCTTTCAAATGTGTTATATCAAATACTTTCTATCAAATGGGTTAATCAAATGGGTTCTATCCAATGGGTTCTTTCAAATGGGTTCTTTCACATGGAGTATTGGAAAGGCTACACATCTTGAAATGCTAAGTATACTTTAAATTAAGATAAAAAGTTGAAATTATGAAATAAAAAATTAAATGAGATAAAAATTAATTATGAGATAAATATGAGATATATTATATATGCAATATTATTTTTATGCAACAATTGTCGGAATTATGACAATTATAATATCTCATAATTTTCTCATAAATTAACGTTTATTTCTCACAAATTATTTATCTCTTAATTTCAACCTTTTGTCTTAATTTCGACTATTTGTCATAATTGTGTCTGTTTCAAATCATAATTATGACTTGTAAGTGATAATGGATGTGTATCTCAAATTTGACTATTATGCATAATAAGTCATAATTATGAGATATACGTTAAAAGAATACTATATCATGATTATGACTTTTTATGTCATAATTTTGACTTTAATAATATAATCAGGATGATCATAATTATATGACTTACCAAAGCATTTCTTTTTTCTAATGTGGTGGAAATGAGCTTTCATAACCACCAGCATTCACTCTGTCATGATTAGACAATGATGAGATATATTGAACATACAGCACCTGAAAATAAACCTCACTTTCACTTTATTTTTCATAGTAGCTTGAAAGGAAGGATAACAGAGCCCACATAAAAGCACAAACACTTCAGTGCTTGTGACCCATCCAAAACCTACAAATGCAGGGCAGCTTTACTACAGGATTCGCCTGCAGCTGCCCTGCACTGGAAACAAGAGCCAACATGCTGGGCTTCATTTCATGGATTTCATGCAACAGACAAATAAATAACGGATAACAAATAAACGATTCCAAAACATTTGTTAAATATACATCCTTTATTTAAATTTTTTAGACATTTGCATTACTATTTGCATTTCCAAAAACACAGGCTTAGTGACAAATTACAATACCTTTTCAGCTCTCTTGCCATGATACTCCCATAAGTAGCTAATACCTATTTTCTAATGTTAGACATATGATTATCGGCAAAAAACAAGGTCCAATGCTGCTTATTTTATCCAGGAACTGCATAGAGAGGATGAGACTGCCGGACCAATATTAAAAGCAACCAATCACAGTTTGTTTGTGTCAGTTTGTAGCCGAACACATCTAATCAATGTGGTTGGCCAAGTATAAACCAAACCAACTGAGGCCTCCTTCCTCACAACACTGAACTTCCATTTTCAGAAGCAGTGCTATGGGACAAAACAGACTGAAATGAGTTCAGGAACGTGAGAGTTTGGGGATATCCAAAGCTATAAAGACAAAACTGCCTGTATGAGAAATATGACATGAGACACTTCACAGCTAAACCCTCTCACTTCAGGTTTACACATCCTGTTTTAGTTCTCCCTTCCTCATGCGGATCATAAAGTTGCATATTCAGATTCTTTTCAGGAGACCCATAAATCATCTGCGTCTGGAGCCTGGAAAGACCTTGATTTGAGAAGAAGAAGAAAAAATATATTTCTAGCAAAGCTATTTACTATTTAATTTAATTTAATTTATTTATTTGATTTTATCGGGTAGTGCTAATGATTATTGTTTTACTAAGTTCAAACACATTACAGGCTCTTTTAGATATGTTCTGATGAACATGTTTTCAAGCAATGTGTGTCTGTTTTTTTTTTTTAAATCAGGCAACTCAAGTCAAGTCAAGTCATCTTCATTTATATAGCGCTTTTAATAATGGAGATTGTTTTAAAGCAGCTTTACAGAGATAAACATTCAATTTACGGTAACAGAGATTGTTTTGGCTTTATAGCGATTTTTAAATAGTGTTATTTCCAGCTAAAGTTGGTTTTGATTGATTCACTTCCAGCAAAATTATCATTTGTTATTACATTAGGGGCCACTAAGACGACGGCGTTCTCTCTAAACAGACTTTAAACGCGAACCTGTGACCTGATGGCGTTCACATGCACATTAAAAATTGATTCTATAGTTATATTCGTTTGAATATGTGTGCGCAGGTTTGTAATTTCCCAACAAACCATGCCTAAACAAACTACTTGTCTTGCCTATAAATTTGATACAGAATTTTATTTTATCACTTCGGGGTACGCGAACCAGATTTTCAACAACGCTTTATCTGTAGAGTGCAAGGGAGGTTGACACTTCAGCACTGCATTGTCATCTGGTCCAGGCGAATCTCCTTCGTCAGATCTGGATACGGCCTGGATCCGGCGTGCTGCAGGAAAACCTCGGGATAAACAAAGACACTAAAGTTAGCGTAGATGCCATTCTTCTTATGATGTAACGAGTACATCAGGATTTAAGGGAAGGGTTCCCAGTTCCGGCTGACCTAATCTTTGCAGCCTAACATTGAATTATCGAAGTCTATAGGGTATTATGTGTATGCTAGGTCAAAGAGATGTGTTTTTAGTCTAGCTTTGAACTGACAGAGTGTGTCTGCTTCCCGGACAATGGTAGGAAGACTGTTCCAAAGTTTTGGTGCTAAATAAGAAAAGGATCTCCCGCCAGCAGTCGATTTTGATATTGTATTATCAACTGGCCGGAATTTTGAGAT